CCCCTCCCGGGCTTTTGCGGGCGGGGGCCTGTCCAGCCAGCTCAGGTCATGCAGGGAGAAGATGTGCTCCAGCCCCTTCCGGATCCCCACCAGTGCCAGCAGCTGGGGCCGGGGCGAAGCGTGGATCAGCATCTCACAGTGCTTGGGGCTGGGGGCCAGGGAACAGGCAGCGTGGTCCCTGTCACATCCCCTCCATCCCCCTCATAAATGCCAGGGAGGTGGCATGTCACCTCTCCTGATTTGGTCCCAGGGGGCGATACTTGCACAACACCTGCAAAGCAGTGACAGCCCCACCAACCCCAACCCAGGAGGTGAAGGCTGGTGGCAAAGCCATGTTGTGGCCCTGCAGGAACCCCGCCAGCCCTTGGGCGTCTGAGCACCCACGTATACCACCTGCCAGGGCGTGCGCCCCCACCCGGGGCAGCACCTGCGTCCCTTGCCCAAGGCGAGCACCAGGGCTCCACTGACACTCAGGGCACGTGTGGGCAGCACCCAGCCCGGTGCGACAGCAGTGCCACGGTGCCAAAGCAGTGCCACCCGATTAAAAGGGATGTCATACCATCACTGGGAAAATAATAGCGGCCATGGTGGACTTGAGGACCCAGAGCAGGGCCAGGCACAGCAGCTGGATGACGGTGAAGAGGTGCACCCGGCGCAGGGGCACATGGCGGAGGTAGGCGAGGTCTGGCTGGTGCTTGGCTGGCATCAGGAGCAGCCGCACGCGGTCTGTGAGCTGTAGCGAGAGGATGGCATGTGGGTCACACACCTCCAGCTTTCAGGAAGCTCTCACCCACCTCCCTGTTGGGACCGGGGCTTGGCAGGGTGGGTTTTCGCCATTGTTTTTGCAGTTCAGCCCTCCTGCCATCTGCGCTGGCTGCCCGTGTGATGCCTGGGTGAGTGAGTTTGTCTTCAAGACTGGGGGTCCTGGTACCACCATCGCCCCAGGCCAGGGGAGCACCTTGCAGGCAGACATCTAGAAAGGACTCAATCTGGTCTTAAAAGGGTTGCTTGAGAGATAACAACCCCTTGATTCGCCTTCCTGCATGCAGGAAACTTTTCCAGAGCACAACCCCAGATTCCCCAAACAGAGGGAGGGAGGGAGGGAATTTCCCAGCCTGTCATCCAGAGCAGGGTAATTGCAGGGAAAATGTACTGTTTAGAGGAAAAAAAGAGGTAGATATTTCTGGAGTGGGGATTTTTTTCCCCTCCGTGGATTTCTCAGGAGAGGAACAGAGCTGGCACATCAGTGGCAATGCCAGGACCAAAGGACCAGCAGGTCCCAGCTCTGCCTGCAGCTCACAGATGGGGATATCCCTGCAAGTCTGGGTTATCCACTGGTCTCTCCACTTCTCCCAAACCACTTGATCCATCAGTGCAGAAGTCGCTCATGCTCCCCAGCATCCCAGACACTTCCTTTTCCCTTTCCTCTGTCCCAGAGAGGTCCCCCTGTCTCTCTTTGTCCTGGGCCTGGCGGGGGACAAACCCGTGCCAGGCTGCACATCACACAGAGCTAAAGTCCAGGCTTTGCTGTGCAGTGAGAGCTGCTATCGAGCAAACCCCCTCACCCCCAAAACAGCCCCCAGCAGCACCCCCAGCGCAGCCCTTGCTCACCTGGATGCTGTTCAACGCCACCACCCCCATGTGCAGAAAGACCCCATACAGCACCGGCATCGGGATGTGCTGCAAAACAGCGGGGCGAGGGGTCAGCAGGGCGCAATTCCCCAAGGGTGCTGCGCTCGCAGAGTGTCCTCTTCTGTATAAAAGCCTGCACACGTAGCTGCAGCATTTTCTTCCTTCCTTTCCAACAGCCCAGTTTAATTTAATCGCATTTTGCTTATCTTATGGCTTCGAGGTCTTTAAAGCCTGGACGTGCTCCCAGCTACACTGCTCATGTGGGGACATTACAGTCTTCAGAGAGGGGAAACATGCACCAAGTTCCTTGCCCTGTTTTCCAGCACATGGTGGGAGCAATCCAGGCTGGAGATGGAGAACATGATGCCAGGCCACTTGGAGATATGGCTTATGGCTCAGGATCTATAAATGCTGCGGGGTTCCTGCCTCCCCGGCACACTGCTTTCCTTTTTACCTCCTCCTCTGCAACCATAAACTGGCTCCTGCTCTCTGTGTTGCTCAGCATGGTTTGTTTTTTTCCCAAGCCTGGGCAGGCAAGGAGGGAGATGGGGGTCACTTGCTGCTCCCCATGGATTCCACCAGGGACACAGGGACTGCCCAGGGCAGGGACGGCTTCCTTGGCATCATGCAAGGGCTGTTTGAGAGGAAGCATTAATCCACATGCCTGAGGCAGGAGGTAACTGCTAGTCCTGGGGCTGCCGCAGGTGTGGCAGGGGGGATTATAAGGAGAGATGGGTCCTTCCATGAAGGACCAAGCCAGACTCATCCTGGGGCTGGGGGGGCAAGAAGAGTTGCCCTGGGGGAGGCTCTCAAGGCCCACAGACACCCCTCACTGGTCTGTATCTCGCCACCCGCTGCAAAGGGAGAGGGAGGACCAGGCTTGGTCTCCGGTTTCTCCGCCACAAAATCACGCAAGGGTTTGGGTTGGAAGGGACCTTCACAGACCATCCAGTCCAACCCCCCTGCCATGGGCAGGGAGATCTTCCCAGCAGCGCACTTGCATTGCTCTGAACAAGGAGGGTTTTGGTAATGGAAGTGATGGTGGGAAGCCAGGGCTCTCTTCTGTGATCAGACCACTTAAATGTTCTTCAGGAGCTTAGAATCATCAAATCATAGAAAGTTTTGGGTTGGAAGGGATTTTTGAAGATCATCTAGACCAACCCCCCTGCCATGGGCAGGGACATCTCCCACTAGATCAGGTTGCTCAGAGCCCCGTCCAACCTGACCTTGAAGACTTCCAGTGGTAGGGCATGCACAATTTCCCTGTGCAACCTGTCCCAATGTCTCCACCCTCATTGTAAAACATTTCTTCCCTATGTCCAACCTAAATCTACCCTCGTTCAGTTTAAAACCCTTGCCCCTTGTCCTGTCACTACAGATCGTGGTAAAAAGTCTCTCTCCATCTTTCTCATAAGCTCCTTTTATATACCGAAATGCCTCAGCAAGGTCTCCCTGGAGCCTTCTCTTCTCCAGGCTGAACAACCCCAACTCTCTCCACAGCAGAGCTGTCCCAGCCCTCGGACAATTTCGGTGGCCTCCTCTGGCCCTGCTCTCACAGATCCATGTCTGTTTTGTGCTGGGGACCCCAGAGCTGGACACAGTGCTCCAGGGAGGTCAGGAGAGCAGAGCAGATGGGGACAATCCCCTCCCTTGCCCTGCTGGCCACACTGCCGGTAATGCAGCGCAGGAGACGCTGTGATTTCGGGGCTCGGAGCAACT